GGCCCAGGAAAGTGGTTCACGCCTGTGACCCTAGCACTCTAGGAGGCCAAGCCAAGAGGATCCCTTAAGCTTGGGAATTCCAGACCAGCCTGAGCAAAAGGAAGGCCCCATCTCTATGAAGAAATAGAAAAACTTAGCAGGGCATTATGACAGGTGCCTGTAGTCCCAGCTACTCAGGAGGCCAAGGCAGGAGGATAGCTTGAGCCCAGAAACCTGAGTAGTTGTGAGCTAGGCTGATGCCAGGGTACTCTAGCTTGGGCAACAGAATGAGACTTTGTACCCCAAAAAGAAAAGAGATAATTTTGAAAAAACAAAGAAAATATAATTATGATACTCTACATGGATCAACTGTGTGCAATGTTTGCATGGTATAATGTCAATATAGAATATTTTAACCAAAAATTTATTTGTGAAAGAGAAATGTGTTTGTGTGTTGGGGGGCATATGTGCAACCTAATTCCTCATTTTCCATAGAAGAAATTTAGAACTACACAATTTCTAAATCTAAATTTTAGAAAGGAAATTACATCAAATATAGGGTATTATTTAGAAGTAAAGAGTTATATACCAAAAGAAACAGCTGAAAATGTTACAAGTAGTTTAAAACAACACACCAAAAAATTGTTATGTCATGTAGGTCAGTTATTCCCCACTTTGTAGCTGAATATTCTGCTCAGGGTCTCATTTACACCAAAATCATGGTGGCCACTAGCCTTTGCTCCTGTATGGAGACACTGGGGGAGAATCTGCTTCTGGGCTCATTCGAGTTACTGGCAAAATCTCATTCCTTCTCACACCTTCCATCTGGGCGCTTACATCCTAAGGCCTGCAACAGCACTGGGAGTCCTTTCTGTCCTTTGGGTCTCTCTTCCTCTTCAGCTTTCAGCCAAAGAATCTTCTCTGCTTTTAAGAGCTCAATATTAGCCCCACCCTTGCTAGATAATCCAGGAAAACCTATTTTAAGGCCTGTAACCTTAATCACATCTGTAAAGCCCTTTTAGCCATGTCAAGTTATATATTCACAGGTTCTAGGAATTAAGAGTTGATGTCTTTTCTGGAAGCAGGAATCAAGGGGTAAGGAGCAGTGGGGCAAGGGACTGCTTTTTAAAACTGTAAGCCCTATAATACTGTTTGCTTTTTAAAATTACATACATGTACAGGCAATCTCTGGGTTACAAATATCTGACTGACAATGACTCACATTAACAAACAGAGGCTATTACATATAATAGGTAAACGTACCTGTTCCAGCGTACCTACAAATTCAATTAAAAAAAAAAAAAAAACTCCAGAACCTCCTTCAGAACCTGGGAACTTTCTGTATTGTTTTCATTTAAAAAAAAAAGGTTAAAATAGGTTTTTAACCTTTTAAATACAATTTTAAAAAGTGTGCAATTTAAAATGTATACAATTTAAAAATTAAATACAATTTTAACCTTTTTTATTGTATTAACCAAATTCATACATACTGAATTTAGATGGACTCTAGGTAATACATAAAATGTAGTCATTATACAAGCAATCAAGCAATCTGCATTATACATCGTCCATTTTTGTGTTTCTGGACAAAATGACCTAAGATCTCCAAAGCATATTAGAAAATATTTGGAAGGCACGACCGTGGCTGGGCCCTTGTGAAAATCCTGATTCGAGTAGACCATAGGTCTCATCTAATGTATCAGTTCCTTCATTCTTCCATTGCATTAAGATGCCTGCTCTTCTATTTTTGTTTTCTGCTTTTTAAAAGATTTTTTTTTCAAATGTTGTTTATTTATTTATTTATTTTTCTGGCCAAGGCCGGGTTTGAACCCGCCACCTCCAGTATATGAGGCTGAGACCCTACTCCTTTGTGCTACAGGTGCCGCCCTTAAAAGATTTTTTTTTTAATTCAGATTAATCTGAGGGTACAATTAGGCTACAAAGTTTGCATTTTTTTTAGGTAAGGTTCCTATTGTAGTCGTGTCCCTCACCCCGGGGATGTGCCATATTCCCTTATATTGTGCCCACGATGTGAGAGCACACCAATCTAGTGTGAAACCTTCTGGTCTAGGGCTTTTCTTTTTTGGGAGCTTTTGTATTATTGATGCAATTTCAGTGCTTGATATACGTCTATTCAAAATTTCTAATTCTTTCTGGTTGAGTTTAGGAAGGACAGCACACCAATCTCTAGTTATTTTTGGCAGTTACTACTAATAGCTAGCTACTTCCTGTATCATGAGTAAGACGTGATCAGGAACATATTTTCTTGTTTTGGGAAACAAAAATCATCACATTTAGTGGATGTCAGAATTAATAGAGCTAATCTGGTTCAATCTCATTTCACAAATGACTACAGATGCCTAGAGCCAGTGTTCGTGACAGAGATTCTCACTTCCAAATGAGCTCCACAGTTTATGGCCACTGTTATGAGTCATGGATGGGATTACAGATGACTGAGTCTAAGATCTTCATTTTACAAATGGAAAAACAAAACCAGACAGAGAAGAATTACCTGCCCAAGTTCCACTGGAACTGCTAAATGCTAAAACCAGGTTTCTTTCTCCTATACAAAGTAGCCTTTCCTTGACTTACCACCTGATATTAAGCCAAATCCTATTCACTTCCAAATTCCTACTACCTAGCACATTACCTGGCACAGAGGAGGGAATGCACAAATGAGTCTTAAGCCACTGTAAAAAGCTCACTTTGCAGGGATGGCTCCTGTGGCTCAAAGGAGTAGGGCGCTGGCCCCATATGCCACAGATGGTGAGTTCAAACCCAGCCCTGGCCAAAAACTGCAAAAAAACCCCCACAGAAACAAAAACAAAAAACTCACTTTGCAATTAAGTGATTTAAATTCAGAACAGACTTTCAGCTGATAAGCGATTTGGCAATAATGTGAAATAAGATGTTTCTTCTTTAGGCAGCTTCCTCCTTGGGACAAATAAGTACATCACTGGTTGTATCATACAAGCTTTAAACTCAGGCTGGCTTGTTTTCTAATTTTGTCTCAGTCACTTACTAGCTATATAATCTTGTACACACATTTCAATCGTTTTATGTCTTGGTTTCTTCATCTATAAAACGAAGATAATAATGTAACCTATCTCATGGGACCAACACAGGGATTATGTAACTTGGTGCTCAGTGAATTAAGCAGCAATTAATTTTCTCTCTGGATTCAATGGGTCTACCCACTAAATGCTGAAAACTAGCAGCCGTGAAATATTTTCCTGTTGCTAATGGTAAGCTAAAAATGTGACCATTAGGAAAGACAGTTAAAGGCCAAAGAATTTCAGGAAGAAATCATCTTGGGGATTAATGTCAAAAATATCTAGCACATCCAAATGTCGATAAAACTCCTCCCTTGCTGAAAGTAACAGCATACCAAGATTTTAGCTACAGTATTTACAAAAAAAAACCCAAAACACCACTTTTATTACTTGACCTAATCACGAGGGTTTAGAATAAAAGTTTCTAAAGTGAATGTTCTTATTCCCTTGCTTTCTTCTAAAACGACTAATATCCTATAGTATAATATGCTATTCATGTGAGCATAAACTGCACTTTGAAGAGAGTAGGAGTTCATGGAAACAACCAAATGGTAAATTACTCTGGAAAGCAAATGTGCTTAGATCATTCTGGCTCCTTTCCCCCTTGAGACAAGGTGAACATATTTGTGGATACAGGAATTTGTTTGCCATAGATCTCACACAGATTTATAACCTCAGGGGTCCTCAATTAAATGTTTCTGTAATAATACTCAGTGTTTACGTGTTAACATCAAAAAGGGGTTTCTTATTTTAAAATAACAACTATACTTACCTGAAGATAGATTTCCAGACTCTTCCTGGATAATTCTAGAAAATTACAGAAAAAACCTGACCAATATCAGCACCCCCACCTTCACACTAGTAGTTGGGTCCTGTAAAAAGTCAGGGAAATTGGCAAATGTGGTCTAGCTAAAGACACACTCTGAGAAGTAAATACCAAGGAGGAAAAAAAACCCCTACATGACATTCAAACCACTTTGCTGTGGCTACAGATAATACAAAACTATATCAGCATCTCTTAAGAGAACAGCTATTGAAAACTGATTTTCTCAGTGTCAAATCTAACCTGCTAATATGATTGCCTTATGACTAGAGGTCCCCATCATGTGTAACATTATAGTCATGTATACCATGGATACGTCATGCATACCATAACACTAAGCATATTGCACTCCATTTTGGCTTAAAACATATTAGAAAGGATGAGCTCTCCATTTACATTAATTATCATAGCTGCCATTTATCAAATACTTAAGTCCCCTTAGGTGCTGCTTACAAAGGCTGTACTAGCCGCAACAGAACAGCAGGAAAGCCTATGATAAGCTGTTATAAAATAGCTCCCTTGGAATTTTTTTTTTGAGACAGAGTCTATGTCACCCGTGGTAGGAGTGCCGTGGTGTCCCAGCTCACAGCCACCTCAAACTCTTGGGCTTAAGCGATTCTCTTGCCTCAGCCTCCTAAGTAGCTGGGAATACAGGTGCCCACCACGATGCCTGGCTAGTTGTTGTTGTTGTTGTCATTGTTGTTTTATTAGCAGGCTTGGGCCGGGATCAAACCTGCCAGCCCCAGTGTATGTGGCCGGTGCCCTAACCACTGAGGGACGGGCGCCAAGCCTCCCTTGGAATTTTTTCATAATGTTCTTTTCTTTTAATTAAATGATAGCTGTGTACATTAATGCAACCATGGGGTACAGTGTGGTGTTTTCATATACAATTTGAAATATTTTCATCAAACTGGTTAACATAGACTTTATGTCAGTTTTCTTAGTTATTGTGTTAAGATGTTTATACTCTACTTTTAGAAAGATTCACTTGTACCCTTGTAAGACAAACCATAGAGGTGATCCCTCCAATCACCCTCCCTCCACCCATCCATCCCTCCCAATGTTTATTCTATTAATTCCAGTTTTCTCCACCATCCACCCCTCACAAAACTTTCCCCAAAATAAGACCAAGGAAACCATTTGGGTGACATACAAAAAGACAATATTTATTTAACTCAAGCTTTCCTATAAGAAGTTAAACAACAACAAAAACCTGATCCCTGGGTGAATACATTACTGAAAATATTAACATTGTTTCATATATCCCTTCAGTGCCCAGATGAAGAAAAAACTTATCTGAATGAAAGAATAAGAATGACCATCCTCACAGTGCATTTACTTAGGCATGTGCAGAAAAAAATCCACATAGGTTAAACCTAAAATAGTAAATGAACCCACTAGTTTCCTATAGGTGATGGGAATCCCACTGATATCTGAAGTCTCCAAGGGATCCCAAGATCAAGGGGATCACTTTTTAGCAATTGTGAAACCATAGGAATTCGCATAATTCACTGGCTCCTTTCCCCTCAGCTAGTTTACTACAAAAAGAGGAAGATGAGAACAAAATTTAGTTCCTCCACTCAAGGGCTGCATGACTGTCAGCATCGGTGTTCCTTAGGAATTTAAAAGCATCCTCCTCGTGGCCATCTAAATAGGCTAACGGTAAAAATGGCTTTGGGTGCAGCATGTAAATGTTTTGCTTTCCAGATTATAAAGGACCTGGAAAGGAATTTCATTCCTGCACAGGAAAACCAAATATTCTTTGTAGAGAAGAGTACAACAAAGTGGAACATCCAATATGCCTGTCTCCCAGCCTCAGTCTGACCTCCAAAGTAAAAGCAAAGGAGAGCTATACTTTATATCTACCATTGCCATGAACCCCAACTTCCTCAGAGAAGCCAGGGTACAGTGTTTCTCTATAGCCATGGAAGCAGGTTGCCACTTTGCCCAAACCTGTTGAGAGTATGGTTTTCTTATCTCCCCTCCCCTAAGATCAGGAATTACAAGTAGTATCATCTTATCAATATGATTGGTGAATGTTTGGAGAACCTGTGATACAAAGTTCTCAAGTTGCTATCAGTAATCTGAGTCTGTGTGTAAGGAGAGCAATGGGGAGGTGAGTGAGGGCATACCTCTCAATTCTCATATTTCTTTAAATTGGAGGGGGACATAGGAGTAGAGGGAATATATATGGATATGTTGTGGGGATGGGTGAGATGAAACCCAACATAGCCAAAAAAAAAAAAAAAAAAAGCATAAACGGAGCCTTGTATGGCTGGCTTTGTAAGGCACAAAACCTGCTTAATTAACCATTTGTGGTAGGGACAAGAGGAATCCCAGGGCCCATCTTATTAAGAAAAAAAGAAAAAAAAATTCAATTATTCCTTTTTTTTCAAGCATATAGCAAAGTTCTAAGTGAAGATAATACCTCATCTGTTTAGAAAATGTATAAACATCAAACGCTGAAAACTCTCCAACAATTTGCACACTCACATGAAATTTTTTAAATGTGCAAGAATTAGTCATTGTTTCTCAGTCTACGGACACTTTACATGGGTTACAAATCCCCCCCCCTGCTCCTCTTGGTGTCCTGAGTAGATTTACATCCTAATTCCTAATGAAAGTCAAAAGGCTACAAAGAAGGGAATAAGGGAGAATGCAAAAGGAGAAATCAGTGTCAGAGTTGAGGAATTGAAACAAAACAACTGGTGGAGATAAGAGTGGTAAAAACCAAGGAGTCCCAACTAGATTGTAAACCCTTGGAGAGAGTCCGTGCCTCATACCTGGGAGCATAGCACAAGCCAGACACATAGTAAATACTTGATTTGAGTAGCAGAGGTGAAGATAATACATCATTAGAGACTTCATGGTTCAAACTCCTACCCAATGAGTCATTCTGTCTTCACTGCCCTTAAAAGCCAGCAATGGTTTTGAAAGATCTTGGTATACATAAGCTGCCTCCACTTTTTCTGTAGTTGTCATCATCGTGGGCAACACTGACTTCCGGGGCTTTCAAAGCAGAAGAAAATGCTGTTGAAGGGGATGCTGATTCCCAACTACTAAGAGTTTCAATAGCCACAAACATTACTCAATCAGATCCCAAACAACAGATACCAGATTTTATCAATTTTGTTTCATAGACGTTCTTTGTAACTCAAATTTGACATTGGCATTTTTACCCCAAATGAGTTCCTCTACAAATAAAAGTTGTTGGAGTTGTTTGACACAAAGAATACAAAGCAAGCACAGATCCCTCAGGAAGTTGTCGTGACTCTTGATAAGATTACCTCTACTGCTATCATCACTTTCTGCTTTGTCCCCTAGTTTGAAGCCTTGCGAAGGATGTCTGCTTTTATAACTCAGTGAGAATGACTCCACTCTCTTTTCCAAAGGGCCCATTATGTTTAGTTTTTGGTGCATAACTCAACATAAAGACCTATGGCTCTTAGGAGCTGCCTATTTTTAAGTGGTCCAGTAGTTTCAGTTTCCATTTAACAAGTCCCCAGATAACAAATAGAGAATGGGAAGAATCTTCAGAAGGTCCCATTGAAGGTAAAAAATAAATTATCTCCGTTCACTGAGAGGCTTTCTTCAGGTTTTCTATCAGCACTACAGAGTCAGTTTCTTCCTTGGTTTGCTTCTCATAGATGTCATACTTCTTCCAATGCTGGAAGGGAGGAAAAACACACACACATGATGACTTTTCTAAACAGTGTTCCTTCCCTGAGTAGCCACAGCCAACCCTCACTTTTAGATTTGCATGCATGGAGCCATAAGTGTATGTTTTCCTGGTTTTTGTTTTCGAGCTAAGCATCTTTTGTCTGTCAGAATAATTAATGAAATAAAACAGTCAGGAATTAATATCAAAGGAGGAAAACAGGAGATTATTATATGGTATGTAATGGCTATCACAAAATAGAAACACATTTGGACATTTCCAGAACTAGAAACAAATTATTTTGAAGAAGAATAAAAGGGTGACATGCATTTCTCACTTAAACTATCTCATTCGAATCTTCATTACCTTTACTTTTTTACCACTCAAGTTTGACCATTGTTCCAGAGATATAATAGGCTCAAAAAGTCAAGGCAATATGTAAGATGTTCTAAAAGCTTTTGTGCAGTTAAAATTATTTAAAGACCCTGCATTAACAGCTTTATCTAATATCATTTACTATAATAGAGAATTATGCATAACGCTAGCTTATCTTGAACCCAATTCAAGTAGGTCTCTTCTGGTAAAAGCCAATATCCTGGTCATTCCTTTCTTTACTTGTAAATGAGGAAAAAGAGTAAAACCTGTGCTAAGTCCTGTCATCTGTAAAATGAAATTGTTAGACTAACCCAAGGGTCAGCAAAATATGACCCACATGGCAAATCCAGCTGGATGCCAGTTTTTGTAAATAAAGTTTTATTGGAACATGCCCATTTGTTTCTGTATTATCTATGCCCACACTCATGTTACAATGGAAGAGTTGAGTTGTGACAGAGACTGAATGGCTTGCAATAACAAAAATGTTTACTCTCTGGCCTTTACAGAAAAAAATTTGCCAAACCCTGCACTAGATTACGTTTAAGCTCCTTTTCTGCTCTGATGTTCTTAGGAAAAGAAATGGAAAAAAGAAAAACAGAAACAACACTGTGATTAAGTAAATGAGGTGAAAGCTATGTTAATTAGTAGGATGTAAGCACTCCAGTTTGTACAAATAATCAACACATTGAATCCCACAAAGACATAAATGTACTCATGATCTATGTATATATGACTTAATAAAAATAAAAAGAGCAACAACCTATTAATCTGCCTCAGATTGTGCAGTTGGAGATGGACTGAGCAAGTCAAGAGCATCCAGTCTTAAGAATTGGGAACACTGCTTAAAATATCCAAATTCTATATACACTGAGTGTATGACAAAAACTAAAAATACCTAACGATTCCAGGTGCTGACAAGGAAACAGAATAACTGGATATCTAACATATTGTTGGTGGAAATGTAAAATAGTCCACTCCCAAGAAAATGTAAACATTTCATGCATAAATCTCTTCACGAATGTTTATAGCATCTTTACTAATCATAACCAAAACCTGGGCATTATTCTGATGTCCTTGAACAAGTGAATGGTTAAATAAACTGTAGTACAGCCATCTCATGGAATACTGCTTAGCAATAAAAAGAAATGAACTATTGCCACATGCAACAACGTGGATGTCTCTTAAATACATTATGCTAAGTGAAAGAAGCCAAATTCAAAAGCTATGTATACAAGTATATGATTCCATTTATAAGACATTCTGGACAGGTAAAATATTAGGGACAGAAAACAGATTAAAGTTTGCCAGGGTCCAAGTATGTATGTGTCCATGTATAAGAGGGGTTAACTGAGAGAACTTTGGGGAGATGATGGACATTTTCTATATTTTGACTGGAGTGGTGGCTTCAAAATTGTATATATTTACTGAAATTCTTTTTTTTTTTT